AAGATTCAAAGTTAAAAATGAAGATCCTATCGACTGAAAACAAAACTACAAAGGTCATACCAGGGTTGGAAGTGACAGCATCCTCCATTTCTTGATCTTCAGGTTTGGTCGAGGTCTCAGAAGTAGCAGCACTGCAGTTTCGAAAATCAGTCGGTCAGCGAACGGATCGACCAAGAATAAATCCATGTGAAACAAGAAAACACAAGTTACGCCATTACCCAGAAATAGTGGGAATCACCATCTTCATCTTCGGCAAGGCCTTCGTCGGCTTTGATGACACCACTCGAGATTGCTTCGGCGCTTTCACAGTCGGCGCCGGAGAGGTCGTCCGAAGACGCTTGGTCGACTGCACAACAGGCACGACCCCCTTGCTGCATTCGACTGCAGGGTCATGGACAAGCTTGGATCATCTTTCAGAATGGGGAGGTGCGACTCCCTCCTCCTCTTCCTCATCGGAGCCATCATCTTCATCACCCTCATCGCCATCCGATTCCCACTCCTCCTGACTTTTACCTCCACTTCCTTCCTCCTCCTCGGTCTGTGCTTGCGCCCCGTTGGGCATCGAATACAACTCAGTAGTGATCTGAAAGACAACAAAATAAGACAAAAGTCAATTGACTGATTTGCAGCACAACAGAATGAACGAAACATGATTACAGTCAGAGATAAGTGGTCATACCTTGTCTGGTTCATAAGACTGGTCGAGTGGCGGGACCCTCCTAGCTCCACGAGGGTTATCTTTGTTCCCTGTGATGGCAGTCATCCACCTCTCCAGTGTGGCGTCGTCGACCTCCTCTGGGTGGACCCGAGTGGTGTCTTCGGTACCAGAGTACAACCACATCGTGTGGCCTCGGTATTGGAGTGGCTGAATGCACCGTCGAAGGAAAACCTCTAGAAGATCCATGCCAGTGACCCCGTCGTGAATGAGCTGGACTACACACTCCATCGACATTTTAACCTGAGCCTTCTCCTCCGGAAGCACCTTTAGAGAGGACGGCTTGTTCACTCGACTCATGGAGAAAGGAGGGAGCCCAGTCGACTGGTCTTGGCAGTAGAACCAGGTCGACCGCCACCCTCTAACTGACTCGGGAAGGGTCATGGCTGGAAAAGCACTCTTAATCCTCATCTGGACCCCAAGACCCCCGCACATTTGGATTACTTGGGTTTTCTCTTCATTCGGACTAGCCTTTTTCACTGTCTGAGAGCGACAAATGAATATGTGTTTGAAGAGGCCCCAGTGCGGCCGACAACCCAAGAAGTTTTCGCCCAAAGACACGAAAGCGGCGAGATAGGCAATGGAGTTGGGTGTGAAGTGATGGAGTTGTGCCCCGAAGAAGTTCAGAAACCCCCGAAAGAAAAGATTTGGCGGCAGAGAAAACCCGCGATCAACATGGGTAGCTAAGAGGATGCACTCACCCTCTTGAGGCTGCGGCTGCCACTCCGACCCCGGAAGCCTTGCTGACTCATGCGGGATCAGTCCTTCGTTGGCCAAGTCGTCGAGGTCCTTCTGAGTGATGGTCGAGCGGATCCAATCGCCCTGGATCCAATCTTGCGGCAGGCTGGACCGCGACGAGGATCCGCCCCGACTGGTCGCTCTCCCCTTCGCCTTCACCGTCGCCTTCTTCGCCCGCTCCAAAGCCGTCTTCTTCTCCTTCACCATTGTCGCCAGCGAAGCAGGCACGGAGCAGCAGCGCTGAGCAGGTGGTGAGCGCGGCAGATGAATCTGGAGACGAGGGAGGGGAAAATGAGGGCGCACTGTTCAAAAACCCCCGCCCAGCGCCTTATATGAAGTCGCTTCCGAGTGACTGACTGGTAGGCCCGGGCGATCCTGTCAAATCCCGCAACAGTCACGCGCGTGGTACACGGAGAAAAAGGCGGCGCGGAGATCGAGGCATCTCTGCCTTATACCATCCGAGTACCGTGGTCTTCTCCGCTTCATGCTCTTCCCGAAATCCAGATCCTACTAAATCCACTAACAGCAGAGCAACTTGTCAGACGACAGATTTCCTATGATCCGTCGCTCGGAAATCTCCAAGTTCATAAAGTTCACTCGACAGATGAAAAGAATGGATCAAAGAGACTGAAAGAAAAGTTGACACCACCACTAAAAAGTCATTGATCCAGAGTGAGACACACTCGCAGCACAAAAAACAGGTCGGAAAGATTATCAACTCCTTCCTCACTCAAACCTCGATCCATTCGGGGGCTAATGATGAAGTCATGTACCTAGGGTAGGGTCATGGACTTGTCCAAGGTATCCTCCCCAGGGACATCTTTAGAAGAAACTGCCTTCTAGTCGACCTGGAAGGATTCCACTCGACGGACTCGAAGACACTCGACCATGAAGACTCACTCGAGCACCAGGAGTTCAAGAGCCACTTTGTATCCAAACGGTCTGTAATTAAGTAGTCTTTATGGTCATGATGACACTTTATGTAAGGCGTTACCAGTAACGCCATGCCTTAATGTACTTTAAACCCTCCGCTACGTGGGCTGGCTGGGGTCCTGGCACACTCTATATAAGCCACCCCTCTCCACTGGCAGAAGGGTTCGCACCCCTGTAATTCATACGCATATAATCCAGTCGACCGCCTCCGGGCTCCGAGATGTAGGGCTGTTACTTCCTCTGAGAAGGGCCTGAACTCGTAAATCCCTTGCGTATACAACTACTCCATAGCTAGGATCTTGCCTCTCCATTCCTACCCCCTATTCTACTGTCAGTCTTAGTACCACGACACCACTCAACCCCTCTCAAGCTACCACACAGATGCGTTGGCCTCACGACTAAGTCCTCACACTAAGGACATATGCCCTATCAGAATATGTCTCGCTATATTTTGTTCCACTTCATTTAGCCACGTCCCAAATAACATTTTGATGCAAGATGAAGGAGTAATGTTGAAGGCTATATGTATCGTGCACCCTAATAGTTTTGCCAATGGGCAATCGAGAAAGAGGTGTTGTATAGTTTCATCGTGGTCACAAAAACAATATCTACAACTACCTACCCATCTTCGCTTAACCAAATTATCTATCGTCAAGATCACTCCCTTGTGGACAAACCACATGAAGATTTTAATTCTAAATGGAACTTTAACCTTCCAGGTATGAAGGGATCTCGGAAGTGGCCCAGAACCAGTTAAATCCAAATACATAGACTTCACTAAGAAACTACCATTCGTAGCTAGCTTCTAGTGAATGGTGTCTGACTGGTTAGAGAGTTGAACTTCCATCAACCCATGAACCAAGTGTAGGCACGAGTTCCATCATTACCCACCAGAGACCTCCTGAATTGCATATTAAGGGGTACTGACTGTAAGAATGGAGCAACATAAACTTCCTTACATTGTACAATATTATATAAAGTGGGATATTAGAAGGCTAGGGGCGTCTCCCCTAACCATGCATCTTCCCAAAATCTAGTCGTGTTACCATTGCCAACGATGAACTTCACCCTCTGAAAAAAGGAGACTTTCATCCTCATTAACCCTTTCCAGAACAGCGAGTCGTTAGGCCTAGCGGTAACCTGGGCCAAAGTCTTAGATTGGAGGTACTTATTACTCAAGATTTGTATCCACATACCCTCAGTCTCGGTAGATAGTCTGAATAGCCATTTGGAGAGGAGGCATTTATTCTTAACTTCTAAGTTCTCGACCCCTAACCCAGCTTGGTCTTTGGGTCTTTAACCTCATCACATTGCCAGAAGAATCGAGACCGATAAAAGTATAATCTTTTTCGTAACCTTATCGGTACTTCAAAGAAAGATAGGAGGAACATCGGCAAACTTGTCAACACCAAGTTTACCAGCACTAGTCGACCTCCATAAGACATAGGCTTTCCCTTCCAGCAGCTTAGCCTTTTTCGAATCTATCTTCAATGCACTTCCACGCCTTATTTGTTAATCGGTGATGGTGAATCGGGATCCCTAGGTAATAATTAAACGGTAGTGAAACCATTTCACAACCGAACAATTGTTTATATGCATCTTGTTCCTCTTTGGCTCTCCCAAAACAGAACAATTCGCTTTTGTTAAAATTAATTTTGAGTCCCGACAATTGTTCAAATAAGCAAAGCACTAGCTTCATATTTCTAGCTTTTGCAATGTCATGTTCCATAAATATATTTGTCATCAGCATATTGTAATATGAACACTCTGATGGGTAACGTTGCATGAATGTATTTTTCATCATGAATTTTTTCTTTCGCCTAACTCTCACACTTCTATGGACTGCCGATATAGGATAAACCTTCCTCTTCCAGGATTGTTTTGGTTTATCCTGCATCTCCTCAGAGTCCTCATGACTTTTATGCTGCAGCTCTGGAAGCCCCTCAACAAGCGATTGGATAGGACGGCCATCGACGAGTTGACTAGTAATTACAAGATGGCTGCGCGTCTACTAATTATCACTTGTCCTCCTTGAGATCTTATTGTTATTTTCTGGGCTTGTTGAGCTGTTGCCACTAGCATGCACCCTTTTCCTCTTTTTTTGTTACTTTATGGGCTTCCATTTTCGGTTGTGGTTGTATCGCAGTCGTGACTTTATTTATAACAGCGGGGCGAAAACATCGAAGGGGCGCAAGTGTTGATGGAACAATAACATGGCTCGAACCAAACAAACTGACACTTGTGACCAGAATGGTCCAAGTATGCATGGATTATGCAAAGGTTGATCTTGTCCAGGATGGTAATTAAACATATATGATTCAATAATAGCAAACTAATACTGTAAAAAGAAAATCTGTGTATATGTGTTGCTGTAGGAATAAAACCATATATAATTTGTAATTTTGTATACAGTTCAGCGGAACACACGTCAAATTTGTAAGGTTTTGGCACTAGACAATGCATACGCTACTATATACTCCACCCAACTATATAATACTAGTAATAATAATGTAACTTCCGTGGCATATCAAAATTGTTGTCCACCATCCGTCATAAACCTAGAACTCATATAGAAAGCAGCATGCATGTTTGTTGATCCGTCTATCTAGACGAATTACATCCTCTCGCCACGGATCCTCCTAGCCAGATGAACATCTTTGGACATAATAGTCACGTGCTTCGCATGGACGGCACATAGATTGGTGTCCTCAAATAGTCCCACAAGGTATGCTTCAGCTGCCTCCTGCAAAGCAAGCACTGCATGGCTCTGGAAACGCAGATCAATCTGTAGATGTGGCCAAAGGGAAGCATTGTAAGCACAACTACTTAGTTTCATATTTCAATTGAACAATAATTTATACACCGTAATCTGTCATGAACAGTCGGGGAAGGGATTGAGCTGGATTTCAATGTATCTCAAGTGATCCAAATGGATTGTACCTTGAAAACTTGAGCGATCTCCCTGACGAGCCTTTGAAAAGGTAGCTTCCTTATGAGCAACTCGCTGCCCTTCTGATACTTGCGAATTTCGCTACAAGAGCACTTGTACGAAAGGCAAGAACCTCACAAGGTATACTAATAATAATACACATATTAAATCTGGAATTATATATATTGCACATACCGAAGAGCAACAGTTCCAGGGCGATATCTGCGGGACTTCTTGACTCCTCCAGTTTTTTTTCTTTTTATTTTTGCGGTTGACTCCTCCAGTTGCTGGAGCCGTTTTACGAGCGGCGGCCTATCGTCGCAAAGGAAATAATTTTAATTTACTGTCAAATAAATGATAATAACAACTCTAACATACATAGTGGTTCGGATCATATAGCAACATGGTATTATATGTGGCGAACTGAGAAATATTACATAGAAAGCCCTAAGGTTCTTGGTAGGAGTCTTCCTTCCAGTGGAGTTACGAGCTGTACACCTGGTTCGAGCCATCCTGCAAATAAGATAGTAAATTATGCATAAAAGTAACCTTTTCAACAAACAAGACTAACTTAGTGACTTATGCTTTGGAGAACATCAAGTGTAATCGCTCACCCCCATACGCCAAATATTGAGACTTCGACTACAGATATATCGCAGATTATTCTTGATGATACTATCATCATGTGATTTTTTAGGCTTCTAGTTTCACGAAATCAGTATAGCTTCAAACCTAATCCTTTTTCTAAAAAAGCTTCAAACCTAATTATTTTTCCGATTCGTCACTTCCTTTCTCCATTGTTGCCCATCGACCCAAGTACACACCCATCGACCAATATCCCAAAGAACACAGCAAAAGGACCACGTTACTAGCTACTACAAGAATAGAGGTGCTGCATGGGCTAAAGTATTGAGACCAGAACAAGACAACGAAACCAAATAAGAAATAACAGCGGAAGAAGCAACAAGGCCAGACTACAGCTACCACTACCAGAACTAGAAGAGTTGCAATTGTTACCTCTCTCTCACGGTTGCTAGGTCGCACGACTTGTGAATTCTCAGCCTGATGGAACCCTGTTCTGGAGCAGAGGTAGCGAGAGGGCAGGGTATTCATAGGGAGAAGGGAAGTCCTAACAGGGATACGAACGAACCGACTTAGATTAGAAGATGCCGTAATTTGTGGTGTACTCTAGAATGATTAGCACTGGCGCTGCTGATTGAATTAATTGGACGGCTCAGATCTGCGGTGACACGGATCAATGTGCATATATCACGCCCTGCTATTGGCCCGTATTACCATGACACGGATCGTGGCAAACTTCCAGGACACTGCATGCAGAGGTTTCCAGTTTGGATGGCACCGCGATTCGACCTGCCCTGCCCAGGAGCAAAAGGGTAACGGAAGTGCAGCCGTGAAAGATGACAACGCACTAGCGCTTCCAGCCAATGTGATTTGAACTCCCCAACCGTTGGATTGCGCGTACGGACGGACACAATCGTTCCATTATTCCACATAAGCTTTGTTTGGGCCTCAATTAGTATGTAAAAAAAATCAGGTCCCGCTTTGCTTTTCTATTCTCCCATCGTGTTCGGGAAGGGGACCTCCGATGTGCCACTTACTGCGGCAAAGAGGCACAGTTTCGCACAGGAGACGGGTCAACTGGGCCAGCCCATTCGCTGTCCTTGGCGGATTGAAAAATCGCAAAAAGAAAAAGGGCGTGCTAACTAGAAATCGAACTCGCGACCTGCTAAAGCTGCCCGCGATGTGCAAGCCACTACGACTACTCTGGAAGAATTGCATCGCGAGTATTAAAGAACTATACACAGCCGCCAAAAATAAAACAAGTTCGCCAAATTCCTTTTAAAAATAAAATTACTCGGTGAGGGACCGAACTTTTGAATAAATTTGCAAAAGGGAACAATTTTTGAAGTTCTAGATCATTTTTATATTTGTGAACAAAATTTCGAAAAGGGAAAATTTGTTTTTTGAAATTTCCATACATTTTTTAATTTATGAACAAAATTTAAACATGTGAACATATTTTTGAATTTCTGAACAAATTTTAAAAAATGGGAACTTTTTTGAAAACAAATAAATTTTGGTTGGAGAACAAAATTTAAAAAGGTAAAGATTTTTTAAAATGAAGGGAACAAATTTTCAAATTTATGAACAAAATTTGAGAACAAAAATATTTTCTATAAGAATGAACAAAATTAATAAAATGCGAACATTTTTTGAAAAAGAAAAGTAAATCTGAGAGAGAAAAATGAAATTGAAAAGAAAAGATAAACAGAGAGAAAAAAGAAACAAAAAATGAAGAGCAAATGGAGAATCTTTTTGAAAATCTGAAACAACTTTGGAAATACGAACATTTTTTGAATACATGATTTTTTTTGAAAACAGGAACATTTTTTGAAAACTTTTAACATATTTTTAAAAATGCGATTTTTTTTAAAACTTTGAACATTTTTGTGAAAAATGAACATTTTTCAAATGCTAACAAAATTTGAATATTTCAAAAAAAATATTAAATATTTTTAAAATTATGAAAAATAAAAAAGCGAAGAAAAAGGAAAAATAAAAAAAGAAACAGAAAAAAGGAATTTATTAAAAATAAAAACTAAAAAACAGAAAATAAAAAAAGGAAATGATAGAGAAGGAAAAATAAATAGGAAAAAGGAAAACGAAAAACGAAAATAGAACAGAAAAAAAATGTTAGGAAGCTTCTAGAAGGTTCCCAAAACCCAAAAAACCGGCTGGGAACAAGCTAGAAGGTTCCTAAAACCGGAATCGTCAAAACGTTTTACAGCTGGCCCACGCCTGAACGCTCGTTCGAATTCTCTGTGCGTCACCCCGAGATTTTGCCGCGGCGAGCGACATATCGGATATTCCTTCGGGAAGGCAAGGCAAAGTTCACGCTGGCGCCATCGGCATTTTATCGTGCGATTAGGTCCTGTACAACGCAGGTGCCTCAGAGAAAAAAAACATTTTTTCTTCGGGGAGATGCTTACACATGTGCTTATTAAGTGGCACGAAAGAAAACTTTGGCTTCGATGCCACCCGGTGCTTGGGGGAGTTAACTGCTCTCCTTCCCTCACGGATGCTACAGATTTGAAGCAACTAAACACCTACTGGAAGCACTCTCCATTGTGTGACAAATTTTTCTTGAGGATGCAGCAATATTCCCTCTCTCTCTCTCTCTCTCTCTCTCTCTCTCTCTCTCTAAGCACCCACCACTGTACAAGGCCTTAGTGGCCTAAGCAGGCGCCCTGCTTTCAGTTCCCTTTTCTTGCAACGGTGGACGACCATTTCATGCCTGCCCATTGTCTACCCGGCTCCTCATATAAGCCATGCACAATAATTTTCCTTTCTGCCTCTCCCCTCACACCCACCTCCCATCGACCCCGAAGTCATTGGATTAGGGTTGGCAGGAGGAGGGTGGATGGTGGTGCGTGGACGACGACTGCTCTCTCGCCGCACTACAGCTCTCACCAACTGTGACCTTCTTCCGTCGAGGATTGAGGAAGACTATGGAGCACCAAAAGAGGATGCGTCTGCCATTCAAACCCACGGCCCATTCTAACGAATGAGATGCATCCATCCAGGGACAAATGTGCCTCTGCTGTCACGTAGAAGCCACCGCTGGAAGAGGTGCAGGACCAGCTGCTTTCTCTTTGGATATGCTTCTTGTTCTGTCTTCATTGACGGTGTTGTCAGTTCATTTTAAATCTCATGAGAGAAGATCCTTGTGTGAAGGTCAATAATAGGTTTTCTTGAATATTCTTCAGTGAGGTTCTGTTGGAATTGCAAGAACCCAACGCCTGTATCTTCCTTTCCATCATCCATGTCATAATTTTACCAAGAACTATTAGTGTATCCATCTCAATTATTTTCTTGTCTACCTGGTAAGGTCATGTTGTTCTTGACTAAAATGTTTCTTATTTTGTTTCTGTCGTGAACATGTTGCGATGATGAAGAAGATGATAAGTTGGGTGATTCTGACGATGAGAAGTCCACACGGAGCCCAATATGAGAAGTTAGTTCTTACATTTACTCTAGAAATTCTGTAGTAATGAAAACTGTAGCTAACATTATTTTCAGTAGTCTGAAAAATATATGTAATCGCCAACCTATTGTCTTCGCTGAAGCTCATCGAGAAGGAAAACTATAGTGTTATAATTGATATGTCGGACGGTTGCACTTAAATGATAAGCAGTGTTTATAAATCTGCTCTTGAACTTGTCATCTGGACATAAGTAAAGGCAAGAAAGAGTGAATTCTGGTGGTTTGGCATCGGGGAGAAACTAAAAGTGTGTGGCAAGGCTGCTCGTAGTGGGTAGTATCATGCATATGACACTACCTTTGTAATGCATGGTAGAAGTGTCATATAGTATTAGTATAATAGATTATGTTATTTATAGTCATGTGTGACACATATTAGCATAACATTTATTATGATGCGGTATCATGATATGATACTCAACCCTTTATTTCTCCATTTAATTCTATAGCACCTCAGCAAAAATGTCTAGTTGGCATGCATGATACTTTCATTACGACCAACTTAAGAAAAGTCAAACGTACCAGGACTCCTAGGCCATCAAAGGCCGCATCATTTAAGTCAAGTGGGCCAATGATAGTCACGCATCCTCTTTCCATAACTACACTTAAGAACAGATGGGACCTAATGAGAGGGATGTTACCCAGATGGCGGGATTCAGAGAAGCCGTGGATATTTATGGCCTTATGGACCTGGGATATATTGGTCTCGACTGGACATTTGAAAAGAGAGTTGCTGGAGGTGACTTTTGTAGGGTTCGGCTTGACAGAGCTTTAGCAACGGCGGACTGGAGCGCCATGTTTCCCTTGGCCACGGTGAGGCACCTAGTTGCTGCAAAATCGGACCACTGTCCGATAGTACTGATGAATGATGCCGCAGAGGGGAACAGGAGAATAGGCACTGGGAAGTTATTCAGGTATGAAAAAATGTGGGAGCAACATGCGCAGTTTTTCCCAATGCTTGAACAGATTTGGTCGGCGGATGTTTTGTGTGGCAATGTACAAGAGATGCGGGAGAAACTTGAGAGGATCTCAAAGCCCCTTGTGGACTGGGGAGGGCGGGAGTTTGGCCATGTTAGAAACGAACTCCGACGGCTCAAGGCGCAGCTGCTAACGCTGCGGTCCGTGATCGGACGTGTTGGGCCAACAGACGAAGAGAGAAGTATAGAAGAGCGAATAGTGGAATTGAACCTGAGAGAAGAAATCATGTGGCGGCAAAGATCTCGTATTCAGTGGCTAGCAGAGGGAGATGGCAACACGAAGTTTTTTCACCTCAAAGCTTCCAATAGAAGAAGAAGGAACCGTATTTCAGAATTGCGAAGGGAAGATGGGACTATTTGCACTGATGAAGCGGAGATAGGATCTATGGCTACTGATTTTTATAAAAATCTGTACGAATCTGAACCGACGGTAGGGATGGAGGAGGTTTTGTCTCATATACCAAAAAAAGTGG